AGGTGAGTCCCGGTGGGCTGGCGGCCCGGGGCGGTGCGGAGCCCCAGGCCTGCCCCTGCCCCACGGAGCGGGGGGAAGATGGGGGGGGGTGGAGGTGTCTGTTCCTAATTAAAGCTCCATGCTAACGACTTCAAGACTATAAGCAGTGTTTCTTACATATTATTACGAAAACATGTTGCGTGTATACATGTACACAACAGGGGTGTTATATTGAATGTTAAGCAGTCTGGACTGTAGTGAGGAATTTGCTTTCCAGTTACCATTGGCCAAAGGATGATGTAGAAAGCAGTGTAGGTTTTTTGCATCATTAGATTTTGCATTATTTTGGGCTGGTAGGTTCAAGTGTAGCTTTATGATGAGACATTATGCAATCGAAACACTTTAAAATAGAAATATATCAATTTTTACTCTGCATCTGTAAATAGGAGGGATACATCCTTTTTTTTTTTTGCCTTAGACTGAGAAAATAATCTTGTTTCTGTCTTCAGATCAGAGAACACCACCGAAAAGTCAGGAAGGAGGCCAAAAAACGTGGACACAAAAAGCCCAAGAAAGATCCCGGTGTTCCCAGTGCTGCACCTTTTAAGGAAGAGCTTCTACGGGAAGCAGAGCAAAGAAAGCAGAGGGTAAAATACAGTTTGTGGTAAAGAGGACAAGAACTGAGACCGTTCCTATCTTCAAGGAAGCTTTGTGTGCACATGTGCATGCCCAGAGGTGCAGTCATGGTAGACTGTAAACACAGTAGACATGTACTTATTTCCAGCATTATAAAGTTTGTAACAACTTGCTCTTCTATTTTTAACTTTCTTTTCATCACTGAGTGTATAAACATGCTGGAAGTGTAATTTCTAATGTAATCCAAATTGCCTGTGATGCTAAAAAACATAGATGTCCCTTCAGAATGCTAGCAGTTGAGTCTTGGCATTATGTGATTATATACAGAAAGTAAGGATCCACTGTCTGCAGCGTGGAGTAATGTGACATGAGAGCAGCACCCTTGTCAATTGTAATGTGGTTGCTGCATGACTTTTATTTTGTGTCTAGCTAATGGATGTATTGCCCCTGGTTTTGAGGCAATTGAAGGCAACAGTATTCTTTTCAGGGTAGGATGAAAAGAAAGATCCCAGTGTCCCTTGGACAGCCATGACTTCTAACTAAGCTGTCTCAGGAACTTTGGTCAAGATAAGTAGATGGGGAGAAAGAACAGTCTTCCTTACCGCCTTCAAATGTGTTTTATCTTGGTTTTGGTTTGCAATCAGCTTGAAGAACTAAAACAAAAGCAGAAGCTCAACAGACAAAAAGAACATGAAAAGAAGAGGAAGCTTGAAGCTAAAAAGAATGCAGCCAAAATCAAGGAAAAAGCAGAGGGAAAGGTAGGTGTCTGGTATGATTTTGATTCTTTGAAGCTTATAGAAGTAGTAAAAGTCATCGTGAAACTACATCTTCTTAAGCAATATGTTGCATGTTACATTTTCATGCTGTATAGGCACACAAGTGTAATACGCTAATTCTCAGTTAAATCATTCCCTTTCATTTTTATTTGCATTCAGGAATCTTCCGGCAAATCTAAAGCAAAGACTAACAAACTGCTGGATAAAAATTCAAAGAAATCATTCTGCCGGGAGTTCAAGAAGGTGAGATGCTTCAACTATTTTCATACAATTTGTTGAGAATCAGCAATGAGACCACTTGTTATTTTTCTTTGTTTGCATTACTATGCAGCTGCTAGAGAGCGTAAAGGTTGCTTGTGATAAACTTCAACACTGCAGTAAGGGGTTTTACGACAGAAACTGCAAGGGTTTCTGTCTTGGCTGGTGTGACATTTGGAGGCATTAGACTTCTTGAGCCAATGTCAGTACGTACTGAGTGATCAAGTGATCAAAGAGCTCTTGTAGTAATGAGGTACCAGTGTCCATGGATTTCTTGCCTTTGGAGAAAAAAAGATGAAAATTGCTTCAGCTTTATGCTTTATAGTTGAGAAGAAAGGAGCTCAGACAAGAACAGTCATATGAAACCTCACCAATCATTCTGTGAAATTCAACAGTAGCTGTTGTAAGCCACAGCTATTCCAAAGTTGTCATCTGTCAAATGGTCTGTCATGTCTAATTGGAGAGTCTTCTCTCTCTTTTTTTTTTTCCTAACCTAGGTGATTGAGGCCTCAGATGTGATTCTAGAGGTTTTAGATGCAAGAGATCCAATGGGCTGCCGGTGTCCTCAACTGGAGCAAGCTGTAACGTGCTCTGGAGGAGGCAAAAAGCTACTGTTGGTTCTGAACAAAATTGGTAAGAAGCACAGGTTTTCTTGAAGTGTTACTTGATCACTCTGTGGTTCTGTGGTAGATGAGCTATGAAGAAGACTTTAAAGGAATCTGAGATTCCGTTGAAGACATAAGATCCAACTCTGAGCTCGCCGTCCTACTGAAGAGGTCACATTTCCTCCACTTTTTAGTCTAGTTTGCTAAGAAAACGCCACAGACAGGTAAATGCACATTAATCCCTTTCTTTTGCAATAACTTCTGAAGGCTTTGGCCAATCTCAGCCAAATTTGACAGAAGTTAAAGATCTTACCATTTTTAACGTTTTTGTGAATGTAGGTAAGTAGGCAGAGGTCACGATGCTGGTCCCCACCAAGGCAATGGTGAGTTAAGGATCAGCAGATCAATGCAGTAGTTGGATTTGAAATTGGGCTTTGGGAAGTATTTTCTCTCTTCCGTTGCTATATGAAAAAATCCACACAACAGCAGGTGAAAACGGCTAAAAAGGCTGGAAATTATGGAGTTACCTGCAGCAAAGAAAAGAAAAGAAAATACCAAGAGTGACAGCAAGAGCAAAGGGAACTGTATATAATAGAGTAGCCTTTGCAGGGATGATTGGATAATCCTTCACAGAACATCACTCTGTACCATACAAAGGCTCCGGGCAAGACTGATACAGTGTAATTGTGATACATTCTGCTTGAGGCAGAAAATAAAGCCTAAAACTTGCCACACTGGGTGCCCTTGGGGAAACATACCCAGTACTTTACCAGAGTTTTCAGCCAAACATTGTATGTCATAAAGAAACTACTAAACAGACAAAATACAGCTTGATTCCACATTAGATTTCCTCCACACAGGGACACTTAAGAAAGGACTGTGCTCTTTTTCCCTAGATTTAGTGCCAAAGGAGAACTTAGAGAAATGGTTGAATCATTTGAAGAAAGAGTTTCCAACGGTTGCTTTTAAATCCGCAACGCTGATGAAGGACAGGACTATGGTAAGAGCACTGCAGGCTGTCTCATGGCTAAGTCATAGAATGGTTGGGTTGGAAGGGACCTTACAAGATCATCTAGTTCCAACTCCCCTACAATGTGTTTGCAGTCATACATGTTGAGAAACAGAGACTTGTTCTTTAAAATTCCTTTTTCCCTTGTTTGATTATACTGCTGTGACTGATGGAGGTGCCTTTGCACTTTGACTAAGCTTTGTGATACAGTGGGGGAATTCTTGCTGTTGAAATATGTATTGTTAACGTATTGTTATTTGCCCAGGATGCTGGAGTAGAGTAAAAGCACAAAGCTGGAAGAATTCCTATTTTTTTTTTTCCCTTACTGTAAGAAGGACAGTGAGGGGAGGAAGATGAGGAATTTTTCATTTTCTATGTAGGATGGCTGCATCAGTTGCATCTCAGTTGGTTTGTAGGTAAAGTGGTGCAGGGTATACTGCCACATTCATCCTGACTGTGGCCATCAATAAAGGTAGCATCTGACACTATTTCATGAAAAGTATAAAGGGATTAGCTCCCTGTGTCCTAGTCTCAACTTTGAAGATGCTCGTTTGAGTCATACATGTATTAATACATATGCTTCACACACCTTAACCCTGATAACAGCATAGTGAAATAGACCCTCCTGTGAAATGGTGCAGAAACTGAAATGCAGAAAGCAGGTTTTGAAATCCTTCCAAAACTTGAAGTCTTTTGAGTGAATTTGCATATTTAAGGATTCTGCCACCTGAATGTACATGGTTATTTCATGATCACACAGGAAATCTGCAATACAGCCTGAACTGAAATCACAAGCCCTTTAAGTCAGTTCTCATTCTTTTTCCTCTTAGTAGTTGATGGCTACCTTTATTGCTGTCAATTACTTATTAAACTAATTTCTTCTGTTTAGAACACAGTAATATCACCTAATAGAGGATAGGAGTTGGAACATTACAGTAGGTAAATACATGTAAGCATAATATTGATCTTCCTAAATAGCTCCTGACCATGGGGTTTTTTTGCCTTTGAATCTTTTAGCAGGAACAGTTCACAAAAAGACGTGCACGTGTTGATTTATCAAGAACCACTGAATGTTTTGGAAGCAAATGCCTTTTGAAACTTCTTCAAGAGCACGGCAAGACTCAAAACAAAGCCATTCAGGTTGGGGTAGTAGGTAAGTGTTTGGAGAGACAGGAGTTTCCTTCTCCTCCTGTAAAGCTTTGTTATCCTGTATTACAAATCAGGTAAAACAACTAACACGTGACTTGCTAATGGGCTTTCTAGTCATTGTTCTTACTTTCATCTAAGACTCACCATTGTAGTACTTCAGTTGACTGCAGTCTTATGTTGCACTTACATGCATGTAGTGTGTATGAGCTGTGGAAGGCATGTTGTCTGAGGCCATAGGTGATTCACCAGTTGAGGGAAACAAGAGAAGGAGGTTACATACCATGCAGCTTGCACTGCCTTCCTCCTACCTGATAAGATTTGTGGTGTTACATTCGGTGTTTTTATTATCAGTGTGAGAAATGAGGATATCGACTTTGTCTTACTTCTGTAGTGAAGACTTCAGATCCAACTCTGATCTCACACTGAAGATGTACTTTACCAATGACACCTGGAAGAAGCAGTTTTGATCAGTGTTACATAGGCTGAGCTTTCTTATTTACGTTAAAATGATTTATGTGGTTTTCTTCAGGTTTCCCTAATGTGGGAAAGAGCAGCATAATCAACAGTCTTAAAGGAGTTCGTGCTTGCAATGTTGGCGTAGCAAGAGGTGTTACCAAGTAAGCTGACTGATAAAATCTGTTCATTTCCCTGTTTGCTGTTGTGTTCCAATTACCTTGAGTTTGTTTGTGTAGAATTTCCATCCATTAGAGGCAAAGTATGCTCCTGTGTGCAGTTCTAAATGCACAGTTCAGTTTGCCAGGGTGAAGGATACTGACCTGTGTGATACACACTGGCAGGAGAGAACAGTGTATAAACTTGCTCTTTTTGTACACTTAGATTTCTGTCCTATGCAAAGCATATGATGAGAAAGCACTCAAACTGACTCTGTGTGAAGTGCATTCAGTCCAACACTGTGGCTTGCACTCCTCAACATTACCAGTGCTTTGCTAGTTGATTATCTGCTCACAGTGCATTTCTCTCTGAATAGGTCCATGCAAATTGTGCACGTTGATAAACAGACAAAGATGTTAGACAGTCCAAGTATAGTTGCAGATCCTTCCAACAGTGCTCTGGCTCTGGCCTTGAGAAGTATCATAGACACTGAAGAATCAGGCTCAGCAGGTGTGCTTGAAGGAGTAGATGCCATTCTGAATCACTGCAGTAAACAGCAGGTGAGCCCCATCTTTTTTCACACCTCTCACTGCATTTGACTTCTCTGTAGGTTTCTTAGGCCAATAGCAAAAGTTCATTTCACTTCAACTCGTTCTGGTAGCTTTTACACTGCTTTCCCCTAACCACAGCGTGACAAACTTTGGCTAGTGTATCCAACGCTAGTGTGATCTTTCATCCTTATAAAGGGAAGGCAGAAACAGCATGCAGTGATCCTGTCAGCCAGTCTGTTTTCCCAATGACTTTTCTGATTTTTAAAAACCAATGGTTTTGAGATGTCATCACAGTACCACAGAGTGAAAAATGAAGATATTCTGACTGCTTCCTATTACTGCAGTGAAGACTTCAGATCCAACTCTGATTTCACTCTACTGTCAAGATTAACCTAAGCCTAATTCCCATTCAGTTCTGTGATAACTGTTTTCACAAACCACAGTGTGCTGTCTCTATACACCTACTAGTATGTGTGAATGGCAGATGAATTGTTGATGAAGTAGACATTTTGCTTTGTAATGTTTACTCCCACATGCAAGAGAAAAACAGCTCTTCACATACTTGTTTGTCCTCATTGTAATCCAATTTGATTTGCTCTTTTTTTCCTAAAATTGAGAGGAAAGTAGGTGTCTTTTTCTGAATGCACCGTTTTCTTTTGCACTAGGTAATGATGCACTATAGTATCCCAGATTTCAGGAACACTGAAGAGTTTTTAACTTTACTTGCTCAGAAAAGGGGTATGCTGAAAAAGGGAGGTGTTCCTGACATAGAGAATATAGCTAAAGTACTACTTTGTGACTGGACAGGGTATGTATGCTATGAATTTTACTTTATGCTGCCCACCTTTTTCGCATTGTTAATCCATCACAGCAGAAGCTCAGAGTCCTGTGAAGTACTTAGAAAGAAGAGGCTGATTTTTTTGTTGTTGTTGCTGCTTTCTTGCTTTGATAGACAGAGCTGGATTGGTCAACAGATTTAGAGAATGCCATCCATGGATAATCTTCTGAAGTAAGGAAGGATATATGGAAAGAGTCAAAGCATGTTGAATGTTAGTTTGTAACTAGTTTGCTGAATTTGCTGTAATGCTGTTAGGGGAATTTGCCTTCCTTTCAAATACTGAGTCTATGTAGTCCTCTCCTACAGACAGGAAGGGATATGGAAAATTCTCTGTGGAAATTTATAGTGGTTCCTATATTCTGAGGGTGGGAATAAATGTAACTCAGAATCAGTAATTGAGTGTGACTATTTCCCTTGCTCAAGTGATTCAGCTGCTTTTACAGCGTATGATTTTAAAAGCAGATGATTTGCAGTGACAAAGTGTGCCATGTCTTTTGCCTTTCAGGGGTGGGCTATCCACTTAATACCATCATTGACAACTTCAGAGTCAAATTTAAATAGCTATTTTACTGCTGTTAAACAGATAATAATAAATGAGTAATTAGGTTGAGGAGTTTGAGAGGTTTATGCTCTGGGTTTTATTTTTAAATACAGTGATTTAACAATGTTATCTTTGGTTGTTTTTTAATGCTGATATTTATTTTCCCAGAGCTAAAATAAGCTACCATTCACAACCTCCAGGATCTCAGAGACTGCCACCATATCTTACAGAAGACAAAATAGCTGAAATGCAGGAGTGCTTTAATTTAAAGAACCTAGAAGAAGAGAACACCACCACTGTTCAAGGTAGGACTGTTAACTGTAATGCATTGCTACCATTAAGAGTGGTAGTAGTAGTTTTAATGGGAGATTTTGGTGGAGTCACCATCCCTGCAGGTGTTTAAGAGGTGGGTAGATGTTGTACTTAGGGACATGGTTTAGTGATGTTGATAGAGCTAGGGCAAAGGTTGGGCTCAATGATCTTGAAGGTCTCTTCCAACTGAAACTGTTCTATGATTCTATAATACCCTCCTGGGATTTATATGATAGCTTTGCCAATATGCAGTGAATATGAACGTTTTAAGAAATGGATTCTGATGCAACAGAACAGTGCATTTGTGTACTGTCTTAACACAAATTACCCCTGCTAGTTCTTAGTTTCTAGTTATCTGACCTAACCCTCCTAAATAGGAAATAGGGGAAAAGAATGTTGAAGAGCACATAAGCACTGGCTAATTAGGCCAACAAAATACATTTTACTCAGTATGATCTATACTTAATTACAAGTCTTTCAGCTCCTAGTGGTCTTCTGTAGATGCCTCAGGGAAAGCTATTCTCAGAGAGCTGTCCTTTATTCTACCTGTTTATGTGGGAGTGCCGTCTTGTGGAAGGGAGGGGGCAGGTCTTTTTCTAGCCCTGACCTAAAATGGCTGTCCTGTCGGGGATGGGCAGGGGTGGGTGTTAAATATGGTGCTGTCTAACAGTGACTTAGCAGACACTTCCTGTGTTTTTCCCAGCTTTGAAATACCCCAGTCCAGCAAGCAGCATAATTTTCCAGTCAGCTGGTATGACAAATGGGACAATAGAGGAAAATAAAGTGATAGAGGAAGCATCAGAGTGGGAAAACTTGGAAACAAGCCAGGAGGGGGAGGAAGAAAAGGAGTATTTCACAGAAAGTGATGATGATCAAGACTATGTGGAAGAAGAGGAAAAAGATGCCGAAGAGGTAAATCAGGGTTTCATTAGGCTGCTTCTACCTGTTAGATCCTGACACCAAGAACCCAGTCAGTATCCTGCTGTAAACTGAGAATGAGTGGGCTCTCTGGAGCCACCACAAGTAATCAAAAAGCCTTTCTCCTGGAGATAAAGGTTGGGTTTTTTGCTTAATTAAGGAAACAACATTGTCCTATGTCACTTCTAAGGCAGTATGTTCCTGACAGCTATGCAAGGGGACATCCATACTATCATCAGTCTCTGTTAGTTTTTATTTGCATGGGGGACTTCATTAGTGATGTCTGAATAAACACATATGTCTGACTTCTCTGACTTTATAGGAAAGCAGAGTTCAGGTCACCAGGAAAGCAAAGCTTGGAGAACAAAAAAGTCCTACAAATTCAGAGAAGCAGATGGCAGGTCTGTATTAAAAACCCTGGCATGAAGGATAGTCTGTAGTACTCTACCACTTGCACTGGTTTCACTAACACGTGATTTTCTTTTCTCAGAAAGCAAACATTCCAATTCATTATCATTCAGCTTGGATAAGACAGCAGATGAAGACGATGCCTATGATTTTAATACGGACTATGTGTAATGAATTATGTGTGAAGACACTGTTTGGAGGCTATTATTAGTCGCTTTCAGAAGTCATGAAGACTTGTGTTGCAGCAGAAGTTCAAGGAATACTGCATACCAGAGCTGCTGCAAAGATTCAAAATTGCTGTGTCAAATAATATATATAATAGTGTATCTCCTTGATCATTCCAGATTTTATACAATTCTAGGAAACTGACCGTATTCAGCTTTAAAGTCCTAAACTTTACCTTCCTGTATTAAAGCCTATTTAAAACAATTCCTAATAGACTGAGTTTGTTCACTTTGCCTTATAAAAAGATGTTTTGAAAGGATAAACCCTTTGCCTTTTTCTTTGAAAAACAATGGTAAATGTTTCATTCTACTCATGTTCAAGTAATTAAGTTTCAAGGTAAGTTTTCATCCTCCCTTCATAAAATTTAATTTTTTTCCTAGAGGATTACAGAAACTGTACCCCAGAGTGTGACTTTTCAGTATCCTTTTACAAAACTTGTAGAACTTTAATATGTAAATGGTGGCTAGAAAATGTTACTTCTTTCAGCTAGACATAAGGTATTTTATCTAAGCACTGCTTTATATGTTCAGAACCTTCACTAGCAAAGATAACTGAGATTAGTCACCCATCTTCACTGGGAAACAAGCCTCTTGTTCTTACAGTGCTCTTGTACAAAAGACATTTCCTAATGACAGGTATTATACATGGCAACAACTAGTAACTAAAGCAAAATGTCGCCCTGTGCAATATGGTACTGTGCTCAGCCTTCAGCAGAACTGGGGTAGCAAGAGAATTGCCAAGAGGCCCTGCAGCTGCTCAATGAATTAAGCATTTAGAATAAATGCCTGACAACAGCCATCTGCCTCCTATGCGTCTGTTTTCTCCATATTAACATAAACGTCTGATTACATTTTCCCTAAATGTATGTTGAGGCAGCTAAAAAAGTATCAACATGCAGGCACAGACACATGCTGTTTATTTAAGCCTGCTAAAACATAGCCTGGTCATCATCATTAAGTTGGTGGCAGCTGATCTAGTACAATCTTTCAAAGTTTAGTAACTGAACTTACTTCATTACTCCTAACCAGTTCAAGGACACGAATGGTTCTTGTTCATCAAAACCCAAGAAAAGAAACTAAAGGTAACAAACCACAGATCAGCATCTATGACAGAAACTGACTGCAATGAGTAAAGCAGTTGGAAATCCTTGTAAATTATAAAGTAGTACTAAAACCATATTCACACACATAAACAAGCCCTTGAGCTGTCTGCTGCCCTGGATCTCAGACCATGCAACACTGAGCCCGTCACTGCGTTAACACAAAGCCTTTTGTCTACACATACTGAGGACTGTTCACAAGCAGTATTACTGAATAAAAATCACAATTTGAGTTCAAACCTGTATTACATGGAATAGTTTGTACAATAGCTGCTGGGATAGATGGGCTGATAACCACTACTCAATGCTACAGCTATCAAAAAACCCAACGTACCTATAGAAAAGGCAATGGGCAGCCAGCTGCAAAAGGGCACAGGATCTCGCTTGAGGAGTTTAAAGGGCCAGACTGAGAAAGGCACAGTGGGAAAAACTTCTATAGCAGAGCCACATTCACTTGAGAGAACTATGAGGACCTTAGCAATAACAAAATTAATCTGCAATTCATAGAGCCTGATACCCAAAATAACCATTTTTCATAATTGTAGGATGAGATTGCTTTTGCAAAGATGAGATCAACTGATTATAGTTTAAATCACTTGCTACTGTATTTAAGTACAAAGGAAATGCACTTCATAGATCAAGACCAGAATCAGATTGCCATTTGTCTGAGGTTAAATGTTCAACATGTTAAAATTAGCTTTTATTTTTCAACAAAGTTTTCTCCACCACCTTACAAAAAATGTTTTAGTGTTCACTGGCAATTAAATCCACTTTGCATAGTGAAATAATATTTGAAAAATTGATCTTGCAAAACCACAAGATTCCATTTTGCACTTACACAGAAATAGCTGGGAGGAGATTTCATGCAAGAAAGGGTTGGTGAGGAAACTATTTCACAGGATAAGAAAACAAACAAACGGAACAAAACCCAAGCAGCTCTTAATTACAGTACATTGCTGTGCAAGATTTGCATGGTGCAAGCACCATCTGAAGTTGTCTTGTTCTTAGAAACTGTTTCTTTCCATAGCTGATAAAGTGATCCTCCTCTAGAAGACTTGTAGTAAAGAGCAGAACGTACAACAGAAGTGAACTATCAAAAATGCGAGTTTGTGGAGATCCTCCCTTGCTTTCTGTAGTGCTGCTGGAGTAGCATCTTCTGTCGCATAAGTGAACTGAGTCTCCCTTGGACCTATGCATTTCAGAACTGCACCTGAACAAGCGCATCACCTTGTGCTCCAGAAGGCAAGGGCTGCTCTGTAATACAAGTTGGCGAAAAAAAAAAAGTTTTGCTTGGCTCCAGAAGTTTCCTGAGAAAACGCCGTCAGTTATGAAAATTGACCCTACTTTGCTTCATAGGCTTCTGAATGTCTGCGGATCAGGCTGAACTTGCCTGTAGGGTCAGGGACATACCACTTCTCCCAGACTTCAGCATATGAAGCAGTTCTTCCCCATGGTTTGAAATGTCCATTCCAATGGAGCAGTTTGGCAGCTTTCACAAACTGAGGAGAGTACCTTTTTCCAGCACTGGACCCTTTTATTGAAAAAGAAACATTAGGCCCTGAAATAAAGGCAGCAGAAATAACATGTAATATTTTAACTTCAAAACAAAGTACTTCAACCTAGGAAATCTTGTCATTTATGGAGAAAGGAGGTGATATGGGAGGCAGAAGTCAGGGCAAAGTGAAAAACACAGTCAGGTGCTACTGAATTCTACTTTGAACAGTCTCAGTATCTGTTTTAATGTACTGCCTTAACTTCCAAGTTCTTTAAAACCCAGATGTATTCATCAGCCTATATATTGTTCACTGGAAACAAAACCCAAGCTCTCCCAGAACTGGGGTTTCACCAGTAGCAGAACTGATACAAATGTCTGTTCCTCTCAACAGTCTTGGAAGAAACAGCTATGATCACTTCAGATACAATGTATATGTGGAAATAGGAAAATGAGAAGTAATTTGAGAGTAAGTCAGTTCAAGAACTACCCCCTTAGCAGTTCAAAAAAGAACATGAAGGATCAGGCCCACAAGCCCCAAGATAGTATTGCAAAGCACTGTTTCTTAAAGAACAAGGTATGACATAGGGGAAGAAAAGATCCATTTGCTGCATCATCAATAGGTGTCCAGCTACAAACCTGGAAAAACACACTGGGGGAGCAGCGTCACAAATGTTTTGTACATACCGAGATGCCGGACATTCCACATGGGATCAATACTGGAATGTTGCTTGTAAAATACAATTAGCAGCGGAGGTGTCGTGATGCTGCCAGCCAGATTCCTACTGTAAAGTTCCTCTCTAGAAAAGAAGATGAAAAGAAGTTGGGAAAGGATGCTTGTGTGGCCCTAAATCAGTTAATTTTTTTCAGTTGCAACTGCATGACAGGAATCCACAGGTACATACACAGCCCTTCATTTAACAGTTAAATGCCATCGCCATAACCCAATCCCTGACTTGCTGTCGCCCCCGGCTTGGGGGTACTTACACTACATTAAGTGCCATCCACTTCTCCAGCTGCTTAGTGATGTTCTGTAATTTCCATTCTGTCAAATTGGCAACAAAAACTCCTGGATTGAAAGAGCAGGTGCTGGCTTTCATGGCAAGCTTTCGGATGGTTTCTTTTTTGTAATCTAGAAACCCAATGTAATTATACTGGGGAAAAAAAGAGAGTAGAAATTAACTGAAAATACGGTCAAATTACTATTTAAAGAAAAGTTTTGCACAACTCCCAACAGACAAGCTAAAACTTCAAGTTCCTAAAGCAAATACCCCCTCCGTTAAAACAAGAGAAATAAAGCTTAAGAGGTCCAACATTTTAAAAATATGATTATATAAACTACATATTTTAAGGAATGCTGAATGGTCTTAATAATACCATATTATTAATACGGTACCACTCCCAGAAAAAGTACTTTTTATATGCTCACAAATGGAAAATTTTTCCTCTGATGTTGTAAGACCTTCTGCTGTTCTACACTGGGAATTACAAAAATTCAAAGTCCTTTTACTGTGCCTAAACAGAAACAGGCATCATTTGTAACACAAACATCAGAGTAAATTGATTTGGGTAGGGACACTCACACCTTCGGGCTTACTGCATCTGGAAGTCAACCTGCAAGAACATTAAAACCCAAGTGCCTGTTTCCAAAGCCTGAGATCTACAGTATTATTATCACTGAATCAGAATAAAACTAACCTGATTGCCTGCTCCACGGACAGCAACTTTATTAGTAGTTGAGTCACAATCATCTGAAAATGCAGCCGCATGTCCAGGTTTCAATGGAGTGTTGTAAAGTTCAAGAATATCATCTGAAAAATGGAAGTAGGCACAGAAAAATTAAAAGCAATCCAAATTAAGCGCTGAGTGACTTTTTGTTGAGTCCATTCCTACAGCAGATAAAACCACTCAGTTTAATCCAACTCATTGATATTTACGAAGTTTTTACATCTTTTCTTGAAGTAGAAGTGTTTGGTTACTGTAAGAGATGGTACACTGACCTCAGCATAAGGCCAGTGGCAAAAGGCTAAGAGAAGGTCCCATACCTTGCACTATTATATCATCATCCACATAGATGGCCTTCTCTGCATGAGGTACCAAATTGGGCAAATAGAATCTTGCAAAGGTTAACTGTGAAAACAAGAACGCAAGAGAAGTGAAGAATTAAACGAAAAATTGTCCAAATAAAAGTGAAATTGATTGATACTCCTGGCACTTATCTATGGCACCAATGTCCAAGACAACCTCTATCAAGGAAGTAAAACAGGCAGCAATAAGCTAGAAGTTATTTAAAATAAACAGGTTCCATCAGCTCCTGGTTTCCTATGAATTCGTGCATTGATAAGCTCCTAAACTGGTCTGTATTAGACTTTCTTATTTCTCCACATCTACCTGTAGTATCTCCGAGGTGTTGGCATGCTTGACACGCAAGCTGCTGTGTTTCAATGTAGCTAGCAGCAAAAAATGATACTAGGCATGCATAGGTAGATATTCAAATCCATCTCTCACTATCTGGAAATTTATTCTTAACGGAAATTTAGGAATTTGATTATAAAAGATTGCTTCTATACTAACAGATTTGGTTTTAATCTCTAGTTGTGTTCGAAAGCCAATTATCAAAATACATTGTTACTAACTAATAATTGCAAAAAGTAATCAATGTCATTCTCACTGGTTTTAAGGTGTCTGCCTTTTGAGGATCCACTTGTACTTTCCCTTCTAAGACGTGAGGGTCAAAATCCAAAATTCGGTATCTCAAATTTTTCAGAGCAGTGTTACTTAGCCACAGCCTGCAAACAGGAGAAAGGCACAGATCTTGTTAAATGAGACAAAATCAAATTAAAAGCAGGAGAGACTGCAGGGGACAGATCTTGATCTCGCCACTTGCTTCCGTATCCAACAAACATACGTATAGAATGCAATGTACGGCTGATGTCGGTGGTGTCTGGTACGGCTGCAGGGGCATGCCCACTATCAGCATACTGCACAGCTGTGACACAGGAAAGGTCTGAGGTTGCTTCTTACTTTATTAGAAATATATGGTCCTGCTATCACAAGTCCTTCACCAAAAATATCAGTGTGAATGGATGTGGGTAAAAATAAAAGTATCAAAGAACAATCTAGAAAAATGGAGTAACTTTATTGCCAGTATTTGAATTGCTTAGATGAAATGCAGGATGTAACTTTTACAACCCCTCCGCCAATGAACTCCAATCCCACTGCTTGGATATAGCCCCACTGGAAAAGATGGCTCTTTTCCATGCCCAAAACATTACCAGAAGGAATGACTGCAGCACTCCCCATAGCAGCCTAGTCAAAAAGCTGCAATAAGCAGCAGCAAAGACTGCAATTTGGAGCAGTGCAGTTCCAGGGAAAGTCAGCTCTTCCCCTTCTCAGAGATACACAAGTTTTACAGTATTGTGGAAATCTCATGAAAAGATCATTACCTCAGGTGATCCACAGTATCATTCAAAGTAACAATATGGAAAACCACGTTGGATCTGGTGTGACGGTAAATACTGTTCATGGCTGCAATTGCACCCCCAAGCCTCTCATCTGATGCTGCAATGACCACAGAAATCTCCTTATCATTCCTTTCATCTGCCAGCCTCTGGGGAACTGCAGGTATGAAATCTATAGGCTGAAGTCCTAATGGACTCGAATCTGTGAAGTACAAATGGCATCACATACTTGTTTTACACAAATGAAACACAGCCATTATTACCACACTAAAATACCCAGCGCCTTCAATTATTTCTACTATGCAACCACTTGGATGTCTCAGCTGAGGTATGGATTACAGCATGCCAGCATCAAACACTCAAAATATAGCACTTGCTCTTGAGAATCCAAGATGTTAATGAATAGGAAAACACCACACTTACAAATAAACTACATACACTAACCATACATATTCACACACAGCACAACCAGGTACTAAAATAAGGCTTAAACTACTGTAGGCCACAATTACCTTTGGTCGCCTCTGCCATGTCTATAATCTCACTGACTTCCCCCTCCCATTTACCCTAACCACCTTCTAGTCTTCTCCATATCACCCTTCTCTCTTTTTCTTCTACTTTCTTTTCCTCTTAGGTAGGAGACAATGACGAAAACAGAAATTCTAAATTAAAGTCACTGTTGTGAATATTTTTCCTGCCAAAGATCGAGACATTAAGTACAGCCCATGTTTATTCCAGGGATCACAGATCACACTACATTATTAAGCTGAAACCAAGAATTTTTACTCACAGTGTACAGACAGGAAAATAGGAGATCAGCATTGGAATTTATTACTAGATGACACCACCTGTAAAAGCTGGCAAATTGCCCACTACTCGCACTTTTTATAACATCACTGGTACCTTTCAGAAAATCTGAATGATTACATAATTTTAAGTAATTTGGGGAACATAGCAAACAGGGACTTGGCAGTTTGTGGGCAGTAGACTGCAGTTCACAAAACTGGGCTTCTGCTTGCTTGCCATTTCCTGATGACAAAGCTCAACAGCTTTGACTTCAACTGATTCCTGGTTAAGGCCTGCCAGGCTCCGATTCAACTGCCATAGTGAAGCACCAGTACAACCACTAGTCAGAAGCAACAGCTCCCAGGAGTGGCAAACTGGGACTCGGCAGTTAATGGGGACAGCAGTTATTGGGTACACAAAGAGGTTCTGTGGGACAAAATGCAGTTCTTAAAAGAGGACTCCTGAAAAAGAAAAGCCTTTGCTAAAGAAACTGAATTGTATCTTAATGACTTTTAAAGCCAGAAGGATCCCTTACTGCTATCTCCCCTGGCTTCCTGGCTGAGAAGTCACAGGACAGCAAAAATAGACAAGCCCACCAAGCTGAAGTTTCTTGGGTATGAGAACAGGAAAAGATCTACTCATTATCATACACATTAGTTCAGCAACATGGTGGTTTCTGCCTGGCCACAGCATGTGCTTTCCCACCAATCTAAAAAAAAAAAAAAAGAAATTATTTTGAATTAAAATAAACTCCAAGATACCTGACAATTCCCGTTTCAAGAAGTCACTGAGGCCTAGGAAGTTATGATGAAGAACGAGCAAAAATATGACAACAGCCACTATAAGGATGGAAACGTTCACTGAAAATGTAGAAGAAAAAAGTTCATCAATATAACCAGAGAAAGACTGGGAAACTCAGAAAAGTACAAAAGACATTTTAAAAAAAAATAAGCTTACTCATATACACATACCTTTCCTTAATGTCATTTTGCTCTTGTTCTTTTATTTATTAGCACAAGGTTCCTGCAAACCTGTAAGAGAAAAAGTACAGCAGTCACTTCCTACTTCCAGGGCATGCCTACGCAAGGCATAGCACATTATCACCTGGAGTGTCAAAACAGTTTCTGAATGCAGTGAGTGTTCCTTCTCTTTAAAAGATAAAACTGTATGTCACACTTTAATAACTGAGTATGGTATATCAGTAAGTACATAGCTACAATGACACGACTAAAGAACAACTCAGAGATAAAATCGGAGACATACAGATCTTTCCACATACTTCACTGACAGAAAAAAACCCAAACTCCTTCTGCCCGTCAAAAATGATCTGAAAAGAATCTGGAAAATTACGTGCAGTTTCTTCACTGTTGAACCAATTTATTTAACTATCTAAACTGGAAGCATCCCAGCAATAAGGTAAAAGATTATACATTTCTTTCCATACTTAACCAACTGCAATATTTTGGCAGGACACAGTGTTTGTAAGATTTTAACAAACAGATTCATACACTTTCAACACCACGCAATTCCCTCCACAAAACACAACAGAATAGCATTTAAAGTGTCATCACACAAAAAAGACGACAAAACTGTGAAAGAAGGTATTACCATATTATAGAAGCGGGTAAAAACACAATACAATGATGCAATTTTGGTATGCAATTCAAACTTATTCATTATTTAACAGTAAAGCGATTGTGAAATCAGAATAAGAAATACACATCCTGGAGCATGAAGTAGCTCTCCGTAACACACAGAAAGCACTCGCACCATAACAACGTGCAAAATTCAAGAAACAGTCACAGGTCTATATTAAAACACTCGCAAAAGCTCCAAATTAAGATACTGCAAACTGTGCTGAGACTATTCTGTGTGTTGGACATAATCATCTTCTTTCCGCTGTCGCATTTCTCCCATGGGGAAGATACGTTTATGGAGCACAACAAATAAAAGCCGTGTGCCCTCTGTACAGCACTGCTGGCGCGGGTCAGGACGCCTCGCCTTAGCTTACAGGCGTGCACCACCACCTCTCTCCCGCTGCAACGCTCCCCAGTCCCTGTGGCCGCGATGCTGAGGGTGCCCGCACCACATACACTTCTGCCCGTCAGCAGCACTACAGCAGCCTGCGCTAAAAGCATTTGCAGACGGACTTTTCCACAAATTACCGTCGGCGCAAACACAAACCCACGCTAAAACACTCAAACATCCCTCACCGCTACACTGCCGCAATTTCAGTTGCCTCGGTGACGCGGAGCGCACACGCCAAGGTGGGCACACGACTGTCCCCCCCACCGTTTCGCCCCGTCCTCCGG